AAAAAGAAAAGAAAATTTGATTCCTCTTAATTGTTACAAATATGTTTTAGTTGTTTTGCTTTTTCATCATTTCTTTGGCACATTATTTAGTGGTAGTTTTTACTTCTCATTTTGAGAATGCACTTGGAGGAGAGCGATTGGGAAGAATGGCCTCCTTGAAATGAACCCGAGTAAAGTTTTGTTATTGGAGTTCTGTGCTAGTTGTGAGATGTCCAATTAAACATGATCAGTGTGGGTTTATAGATGTTTTTTTGGAACCAGACTGTAAGAGTTGCAGCTTTGTCCTTGATGTTGTGTTCATGTCTGTGATCCCTGATCCTCTGCTTATGTCTCTACAGGGTTTGTGTGTGGTGTCTAGTCCCATCTTATGTTGTGTTTATGTCCTGTGTCTTCAGTCTCTGTCTCTGGCATCTGTGATCACTCAGAGGTGCCTTCACTTTGTCTGATTGGCGTTTCCTCTATATATGTCTGTGTCTCTATGTTAGTCTTTATCCTGGCATTGTCTCCTGTTCACCAGTAATGACCTGTCCATTGTGTGAGTACCTCCTGTTCATCTTTGTTTGGTTTTTGCTGCGCCGTCAGCTGTTTTGTTTTGTTAATAAATTCTTTATTTTATATATCTCCTGAGTCCTCGCCTGCTTACCTGCACAAGTGAGTTCACCAGCACCAATTTGTGACACAGACTTTCTTAGGCCAAAGACTGATGATGGATTTAGAATGGTTTCAGCAGACCTCACGTCCCCAGTATACTCCCACGTACGTACGTACGCGCGGAGGTATGCGCGTACGTACGTGCGTACGTAGCAGCAGGATTAAAAATACTTTTAAACACTATAAAATCTTTCAAACAAAAATGTCTTCAGTCCTTTCTTAAAACTTTCAGTAGTCTGGGGTATCCTTAGATGGTCAGGGAGGTTGTTCCACAGATGAGGAGCACCAGAGCAAAAAGCCCTGTCACCTATGGTGTCACCCATGGTCCACAGTTGTGTCCGGGGAAGGCAGAGCTCGTAGGAATTTGTGGACCGGAGGGATTGTGTTGATGTTTGAGCAGTGAACATTTCGTTAAATAGTGTGGAGCATTGCCGTGAATGGAATGATGGGTTTGTAAGGAAACCTTGTATTCAATATGGCATGAAATGGGAAGCCAGTGGAGGGATTTAAGGATTGGGGTCATGTGATCATGTTTCCCTTGCTTCATCAGAATCCTGGATGCACTGTTCTGTACATACTGAAGTTTTTGAATGTGCTTGCATGGAATTCCATAAAAAAGTGCATTGCAGTTGTCTAGTTTTGAGGAGATGAAAGCATGGACAAGTTTTTCAGCATCAGAAAAGGAGAGTAATGGACAGAGTTTGCAGATGTTTTTGAGATGAAAGAAGGATGCATTGCAAAGGTGTTTAATATGAGATTCAAATGTAAGATGAGAATCAAATCTTGCACCAAGATTAGTTAATGTATCAGCAAAGGGAATGTTTTGGCCAGAGAAGATTATGGTAGAGATAGATGTTGAGTGAGTCTGATGCAGGGAACCAACCAAAATAGCTTCTGCATTTGATGTGTTTAATTGGAGAAAGTTGGCATTTATCCAGGCTTTTATCTCTTCAGGACAGGTAGTGAGAAAGGAGAGTGATGAACCTGTAGAATCTATTTTGATACAGAGCTGCAAGTCAGCTGCATAACAATGAAAAGAGATCCTGTGGTGAGCGATAATGTGACTGAGGGGGAGGATGTAGAGGATGAATAATGTGGGCCCAATGACTGACACCTGAGGGACACCACAAGTGACTGTGTGAGTTCGGGGTCTTGCTTCCCTGATGGAAACATACTCAGATCTGTCAGAGAGGTAAGAGCAGAACCATTCTGGAGTTGTCTCAGTCAATCCTGCAGTGTGTTGTAGGTGGTGGAGAAGGATGCCATGATTTACAGTATCAAAAGCTGAGCTCAAGTCCAGGAGTATCAGAAGGGAGGGAGAACCAGCATCAGCGGCCATCAGAAGGTCATTTGTGACCCTGACTAGAGCTGTTTCTGTGCTATGAGCTGAATGAAAGCCGGACTGGAATACCTCATAAATATTATTAATGGTGAGGTGGTCATGTAGATGAGCTGCCACAAGTTTTTCCAGCACTTTGGACAAAAATGGAAGGTTGGCAACAGGTCTATAGTTGACGTGATGGGCTGGATTCAAGGTGGGCTTTTTAAGAAGTGGTTTGATGATTGCAGTTTTCACAGTATACTGGAAACACCTGGTTGAAAAACCTGTCAGAGGAATCTTCAACTACCTGCGACAGCTTCAACCAACAACCCAGTGGATGAGAGGGAAATTTCACTTTGCACAAATGTAATAATTTGGTTTAGTGTGTAGATTTACTGACCTGTACATTTCCAGACTTTGTGTATACTGAAGCACATTGTTGTATTCTCCAAACAGACTGGAAATGCAGACTGTGAAGTTCATCCTTTCATTTCTTTCGTTGGTTTTCTTGTTTCTTATAGGAATCCAAGTGAGATTACGTTCATTTTCTGCCCTGGGCTCCGTCAGAAGAGTGACATGTGTAGCATCGCAGTTTGGGGGAATTTGACACATGATGTCTGTAGCAGCAAAGGGAAA